AAGAATTTGAGGTTTATAACAAAATTCAGTTTGTTTGTGGCATATTTTTTCTTCCCTCCGGATTATCGAAGGTCTTCGTGGTAATTTTCCCCTTTGTATTTCTATAGGGATAGTGACAATTTCCCCTTTCTTGAATTTTTGATACGCAAAAAAAATTTAATCAAATTAAGTTTCAATGTTATAACTGCAACTACAATTAATATCACAAGAAAGGTTAGACCAGTAGTGATTAGCCTCCAATGTGTAGAAATTTCCTTGAGTTCGTCTTGTATCAATTCCATAGCTCTACCGAACTCCATTTCCAGTTGTTCTGCTAATTCCTCTCCTTGTTGACTGATTTCTTGCCATGAAATTCCTGTTCTTTGTTGTTGAGGTACTGGGTTGACCGTTTCCTGATTGTGAGCTAGTATTTCTAATTCTGCACTTTTGTTTAGTATTCCCCCTCTAAATTCAACTATCCTTGAATCTGACGTCTCGGTTTTGCATGGGGCAAGTAGTATATTTCCATCGGTGTATTTGACCACTATATCATTTCTTTGCAATAATAACCTCGCAGCTAACGTCGGATTGTGGCCATTTGATTAATAATAATAGGTTGTTTCGATTCTGACAAGCTGTTTGATGGACTTCATTGTATGGGTGTTTGAATTCCTGTTGTAACGTATCGAAAATGTATTGAAATTTTGCATTTTCCGGATCGTCTACTTCTTGTGGATCGAGTTGTAACATGAGCAACTGGTTTCTTGGAATAATGCTCTCTCTTGAGAAATTTTTTGTTGGTTGAATTTTTAGCCTTTCCTTTGTCGAAATCAATGATGATGTCCTTGCATCATAAGTGGATCAACGAATTCACAATTTGATGCCATTTTGGGTTTAAATTCGCCCTTGAACAGAAATGAGGTCTGTAATTCCTCTATGATAAGATGGTTGTGATATCGCAGAGCATTGAAGCTTCCAATTTTCCGATACAAACAATGTTTGACAGTTTCTGTTCCATTCCACAAAACAATGCCGGTATTTGTTTTGCACTCCCCATCACGAACGGTACATTTTCTGTATTATCAATATCAGAGAGCGGTTTTCTCCCATCGCAAAAAAATATCTCTCCTTTCTTTAGCCTGAAGTTACTTGTCGTTTGACATTTAACTCCTAGCCATCCATAAGAGTATTCCACGTTATTGTTAGTCATCCATTTATTGGGAGAGATTTGATTTAATATAATCCCCATGATTTTCTTGTGTTTATTTAAAGCTTGAAAAAATTGTGCGGATGTTGCAGAAAAGATCGTTTGGTCGGATATGACTGATAACGTTATTCTTAAGAGTGCTTTAGTGCTGTTACTACACTTTATGGCCCGTATGCATATATGAGTTCGTGAATACACTGTTACTTTAGTTTCAGTTGCACTCAGCTCCATTGTTTCTTCGCAATTCCATTTTTCTGGAAGGTTAAATGGTATTCCCGTTATCCACGTGCAATTTTCACTTGCCACAACTTGTATTAATATTAGAGTCATCATGGTCATTGGTGACAATTTCTTCAGAGAAGAAGTGGACTTGGATGATTTTATCCTTGACTCCTGTTGACACTGCTGTTTCCTCGTAGCATTTCGTGCTCTGCTCGCAGTTGGTTCTTCGTTTTCTATTTTATCGGGAATTGTTGATTCAGATGTTGTTTCATTTTCCTGTTCGATTTCTAGAGGGCACAATAGATTTACTGGTCGATTTAAACAATTTCCACGTGCTAGTTCTATCAAGGCGCTCCTTACTCTACTGTCTCCTCCTACATTTAGTTCCCGAATTTTTGCGAGCTTCCATGTTCCGCGGGGCGCATCCTGTTCGTTGACCAGTACGATTTCACCTTCGACGGGAGTTCTTGATTCTACGTTTTTGGGAGATTTGTGTTCACTTGTGTGCGGTCTTTCAGACTGGCCAAATATTCTTTCCACATTTGCTAGAATGTATCAAGAACCTTTGTGGTATTTGACCAATGTTTGAGA